TCATATTGTGCCTACTTGCCTAATTGTATATTATTTGTTGTGCATACTCTATGCTTTTTTCCTAACCGTTTGTTGGCTTGTGTTTAACACTAAATAAATTAATTAATGGCTAAAAGGACTTTTCTTAATTAATTAATTAATTAATTTGAGTAATTAAAGTTTAATAATTTAATCAGAATTGATTTAGTACGACTTTAGGCATGTCCCGTAGAGTAAAAATACTGAAAGCAGTCCCAGATCAACGCTCTAGTAATGGCACCACGATTTGGGCTGCAGCGCCACATTATGCTGTGCAACGCCTAGCGACATCTCTGTCGTCTGGCGCTGCACTACAGAGTGCGGCGGCAGTCCTGTTGCATTAGCGACAGTTCAGCATTTTACTCGAGTCATCACGACGAGTCTAATTAAACAGTTCGCTAATCAGTTCGATTATTTTGTTAATAACAGTACCTTTGTTAAGTCCTTAATTGAGTCTAGTCACATAGTCTAGCCACATGGTCTTATACAAGAGTCTTAACATGCCACCTACACTCACTACACTTACTAGTCTTAGCACGTACTTTGAGTATATGTCACCATGACCATGTCTTAGGTTCATACATGAGTCGGTTTTTTCCGTCATTTGAGTTGAGGGTACATTCTATTCCTAATTTTTCATATCTCTCCATCTACATCATCTTTCCATTCGCTACATGCTTTCTCCATATCACAACCTTTATTCTTCCTACCTTCTTCCATCCATGCATGTTGAATTGAGTTTGAGTCATGTGATTGACAAAAAAAATAAAAATAAAAAATAAGAAATGAGGGTAATGATGAATAAACTACACAACGCAAGCTTCTCACCAAGATTTCATGCTTTCTTCTATTTTTTTTTCAAACCCTTTCCCCAATAAGTCTAGCATAGGAACCCTTCATCCTCCTTGAATTTATTTCTTAGAGTTTGATTTTTACACTTCAGTTTTTAAATAAATGAGCATTTATTTCCTTATGTATGATCATAGCATTGCAAAAAAAAAAAAAAAAAAAAAAAAAAAAAAAAAAAAACATGTCAAACTAAGCACAAGGTATGCCAATGATTTGAGACACCCCTTCATAGCCACAACATATCACCTTTCACCCTTCAAATATGCAATCCTTTTTTTGATAAACCACTTTGAGCCTCGTCTAACGATAGATCTTTCATTTTTCAACCCATATACCTAACCTTGGGATGGGATGGTGTGCAACTTATGCAATTTTCAATTTTAAAAATCTTGAGTGACTTCAAAATATTAAAATAGCAAAAAATAGCAAAAACAATAAAATTGTGCAAAAGGGCAAGTGTTCCAATGTCTTTGATATGAAAATGTCTTTGATATGAACACGTCTCATATTGCGTCTCTTATCGAGTATTCGGTACCGTGCCGGAGAAACATGAATGCCAAGTGAGTGATAGACCGCATGATCGGGATTGCCGACACTTATAAAAATAAAATAAAAAAAGCAAAAAAAAAAGAGCTAAAAAAGAGTGAGAAACCTCAAGCATGAAAATATAAATATTCAAAAACAAAGTTGCACACCTTGTGTAACACCCCCGATTTACTAATTAATAATAAATAAGAAATAGAGGGAAAATAGACAACCTTTAAATAAAATTGCGGAAGCATACACTTAAATCGGAGGTATTACTGCCACACTCAACAACCTGTCGGGTGTTAAGGCTTACAAAATCCCAATAATTACAACCCAATAAATTAGGTGAGCTATTTATACAACTTTACAAACTTGTTATAACAAACTAATCGATCACTTGAGCTCCTTTAGTACGATCACTTGATCAACCTGATTAAACAATCTTGACTGCTCACCATTAAGGACAAATTCCAAAATAGATCGTTATAGGGCCAACATAAGAAAAAGACATAGCCGCAAACACAAGTAACAGAACAAAAACAAATACACACGTCAGTAAAAAGCTGAGTAATCACCACATATCAGAATACAGGGTATAATAGGATAATCAACATTACTAGCTCAATTAAATAATGTAGTTCAAGACTACATAACATATTGCACTCTGAAAAGTAACTATTGTCAAACCCAACCTCAAATAATAATACAATTCTCTACTCAACTCTATATCCCATAAGTATGCCATGCTCATTGTTCTATACCTAGCCTTGGACATGGGTAATTCAAATAAAAAACCAACAAGTATAAAAACTTGAATACTCCCAATAACTAGAAAACACCTTAAACCAGACCACATATGGGTCAATTCCCACTGTAGGGGACCATAGAAAAATAAATATAAATAAAGATTGTACCTCATTTATAACTCATGATTATTACCCTCTTACCAACAAGCCAAGGACTAAGTCTATAACGTCGAGCCTCAAACCAAGAAAAAAATAATAATTCTCAACCTTTTGATCTCATACATCGATCAAATAATAATTCACAATTTAATAATAATAACTCCACAATGGCACAAGTTCCCAAATAATATAACAATTCGATCACAATATCTCAACTCTTAAAAAAAATACTAATAACCCAAATATAATCAAATCTCAACCCCAAAAATAATACTCTGCGTTAACAACCCTAAAACCTTGATAAAACAATACTCCCTATAACAACAACATTAAAACCCTAGCAATAATTGTACAATCAATATATACAACAAAAATAAATAATACGATACTCAAATCTAATCAAATCATATAATACCATAATAATTAATCATATATACAAAGAGTACAAATAATAAATCATATCACACATAACATTACGAAAATACAAACATCTCAAAAATATAGTGTGATTACACATAATAAATAATACAATCAAACATCTCCAAATTGATAAAGTGTGATTACCTTATTACCAATAATGATACTATATATTGATAATGCGTGAAACAAGCAAGAGATAAGTCAGAGCTCACGCCATAAAGCTACCACAAAATATGGTTGGTTGGCGTCTTAGGCGAGTTACAGGAGTATATATGATGATTAACATATGATTATCAAAAGAATACAAATCAAGATCAAGATGATGATGAGGGATTATACGCATAATGGGCTATCATGACTAGCAAAGTGATTTGGTTTTGATGAAGAAAACACATAGGAAGGAAAAGCAACGAGTTAAAGAAATAAAAAAAGTGAAATTCCAAGGATTTAATAAAAGTTGCACATAATACCTAATATAATTAGAGTTATGAGGTTTTTAAATAATATCTTATAAAAGAATCCTACTAGACTTAAAATAGGTTTTGAAAATTACTTTATTTATTATTTTTTTTTCTATAAAATATATTATATAAAATCGTAAAATATCCGGGTATTACACCTTGGGGGCTTATCTAGGGTCTCGAGCCTTTTTTTCCCTTCTTCTTCAACCTTTAGCCTAACCACGTTACAACCCTTAAAAAGACCTTTTTGAGGTATACACACACTTGTGCGAGATTCAGCTAGAGCTACGTTCGGCCTGATTCCTAACGGATACGTAGACAACCTCACATCGAGGTACGGTCGTAATAAAAATGCATTCACATTCACATTCACACACCATGATCGTATCAAGGGATCCCCTGTGCTCATCCCTTTTAATTTAGAGCTAGACTTAGGGGCTCGATCCTTACATCATTAGCCTACCCAGCCTAAAAGTCACCACCATTTAACTCTTTTCAATATATTTTTCCATACACTAAGCCTTGGCGGCCTAACTTTAGTGTCACTATCACACACTACACCGATACATGACCAAATATACTTCCCCTTAGGAACCCTTTGTCATGAAATCTTAACACAACGTTGAAGCATTCCTTGTCTCATCAATCCACCACTAGAAAACAGGCCAATAGCGACGGACTGGTTCCGACGGACCCATTATTCCGTCGGAAAAATTGAAATTTCCGACGGATTATAATTCCGTCGGATATTTCAGACGAATTTTACAAATCCGTCGAAAATTTCTGACGGAATAATAATCCGTCGGAATATATGTGCTTTTCGACGGATATTTTCGTAGGAATATTCCGTCGAAATTTATTTAAAAAAAAAAAAAAAAACTAAAACTGGGTTCCAACAAAACCCTAACACCCATGTTCTATTTCCCCTCTTCTCTATCAGCCGCCTCTCCTCTCTTCTCTCTCCTCTCCTCTTCTTCGTTCTCACTCCTTCTCATTCTCCATCTCTCTCGTTCTCCTTCTTCTTTCTCGCTCGTTCCATGCTCCTCCTCTCCCTCGTTTTCTTCTTCTTTCTCTCTCGTTAACCTGCGCCTTCTCTCCAACCACTGACATAAAAAAAACACCAGCAACACCGAAATCAATAGCACCGGCATCAACATCAACAACAATTTTCATCTTTTTGGCCCTTTCACTAGTAGAAAAAGGCTTATTTGTGTCGCTCATTTATAGTGTATTTGCGTCGCTTCTATGAGCGACGCAACTGCTCGCAACGCAAATGACTTTTAAGTCATTTGCGTCGCTCCTAGGCGCGACGCAAATAAGAGTCATTTGTGTCGCTCCTTTATAAACAAGCGACGCAAATGACTCTTCTGATAAACTTATTTTTTGTTATTTGCGTCACTCCTTTATAAAGGAGCGACGCAAATGACTCTTCTGATAAACTTATTTTTTGTTATTTGCGTCACTCCTTTATAAAAGAGTGACGCAAATGACTCTTCTGATAAACTTCTTTTTTGTTATTTGCGTCACTCCTTTATAAAAGAGCGACGCAAATGACTCTTCCGATAAACTTATTTTTGGTTATTTGCGTCAATTGTTTATATAGGAGTGACGCAAATGACTGAGTAAACAATACAAAACTGCTGTATTTGCGTCACTTGTTTGTTTAATGAGTGACGCAAATGAGGTGAATTTTTTTTTTTAATTATAATAATTGCTTGTGTATGTTTGTAGTACCTGTTTTCCTTGCTAGTGGTATAAAATAATATGCTAACGCCAATAATTGATATTAAAATGCAATATTATTGAATGCAAATGTAAATTTCGGCAGAGTCTCCTTTGTATTTTGGCCTACCCATAAAATTGGGAATGACGGCGGCATATTATAAACCTGTCCAATAAATTTACAACTCAATATCATTGACATTATGGTCATCATCCAATACAATCACCAATACCAACCCAAATTGTTGGTAAACCAAATACATTCATGTCAAGCCTAATAAATAAAACAAGAGTCTAATAAGTAAATGGAGTTTGCTAAGTGTAGATCTAAAGTTCAACATAGCATATAAAATAGTCTGCCCAAATATCTTGAACCTCGTTTATCTACTCCTCTTTATACGGTGTAGATCTTGAAAAATCCTATTAGCACAACACAAATAGATGAGCAAAGGTGTAATTCAAATGTACGTACTTCAAATTGTATTTATTAAGTAAAAATGAAATATTTGACAGCTTATACCGTAGTAAAATACTCATTGCTATGATGATTTTGAAGTATTTCGAACAGATAAAAGATTCAAATTACACTATGTGAGAATAAGAAATAATTCAGGTGACAAGCAAAAGCAAAACTTAAATTGTACTTTCTCTATTTTTATTTCATTCTCTTTGGGTTAGGAGTTATCTCTTTCTTTCTCTTTGGGATTTTAAACTTTTTAAATCGTACTTTGTCTATTTTTATTTCTTTCTTAAAATTTAAATTGCTTGGCACAATTCATAATGAAGTATGATTTAGATTTTATTGTTAATTATAATGTTATTTCCTCTTTTTCAAAGAATTTTTATTGTTATGATGGTGATTATTAAAATACAAAGAACTTAAGAAACCAACGTACAAGTGGTTGAAATACCCAGCAGCCCACTTAATTAATCCCAAAAGTCAGAACATACATTAAAATGTAGCAATAAAAAAGAAATTCACTAGTTCTTAGCTAAATTATCCCCCTGCCAACAGCATATATATTAGCTATTTTTTTACCGTTGCATTTAATCAAAAATATAGTAGTGCATCAAATAAGCATATTGAACTCAATTTAGCAATACTAATGGTTGAAGCTTTTATACCTGCGTTCATAGAGAACACTGCGGCTATAATGACTCTCATTCACAAGGTCTCCAAGCTTCTTAAGCATATCATCATCCCTGTAAAGACAAGTTATTAATTATAAGAATCCAATATTTATTTATACATAAAACAACAGGTGAAAGAGGATCCTAATGCCCAGCAAATAGCTAAATTCAACTCACCTCAAATCCGAGGATACAATCAGGATTCATGAATGGAAACATAGTTGCAACTTACAAGGGCCTAAATACAATTAACAATCATAGACAGTCAATTAAGTACTGCAAATCCAATAGACCCAACACATTCTAATTAATGGTATTATAGCATAATCCATTGCCCGGTTCCTAAAATAACAAGTCACTAAACCTTGGGTCATGCACTATGATGCAAATATTATTGCAATTTCAATCAATTATATCACAATTAGAAATCCAATAAAATTCACAATCATTATACCAACCACAAAAAATAAGCTAAAACTACAGAGAATGGTTAGAGTATATACAACAAGCGAAGACAATGTCGTATGTGTACTACCGCCTCAATTGTTTGTATACAATCACAAACTCGTGGAACTTAAGGAATTCACTTCCACATAGTAGAGAAATCTGACATAAATTTACATATATTAATTAAACCAACAAAAGCCAAACAAGCTAAAAATTATTTTCTAATGAACTAACACCATTTTTTGCAATTAAACTAAGTACTTGTTCAAGTTAAATGCTGAAATTTATCTACCATGAAAATATTTAACATAAAAACAAGAGCCAATGGGTCGAACTTAGCTGAAATTGACTTCACAAATTGACTGCTACAATGGGTTGAACTTCACAGAACTTTTCCTCTAATTAGGTCGAAATTTCTAGGGTTTATGGGGGTAAAATATAATAAGTTTTTAGGGGGTTTTGCTTGAATTTTCTGGGGTGTTTAGCACTGATTTTGAGCTCGAATTGGGGCATTTTGAGCTCGAATTGGGGCATTTTACTGCTTGAGGTTGAGGTTCGAATTTCTGCTCGAATAATTGGGGGGTTTTTGGCTCCAAAATGTTTAATTTTTCTAGGGTTTTTAGGGTACGAATTTGCTAGGGTTAAGGTATGAATATTTGCTCAAATTGGGCGGTTTTTGGCAAAAAAATGTTTGATTTTTCTGGGTTTTTAGGGTTCGAATTTGTTGGGGTTTTAGGTTCGAATTTCTTATCTAATTGGGGGGTTTTTTTTGCTCGAAATGTTCGATTTTTCAGGGTTTTTAGGGTTCGAAATTGTTGGGGGTTTAGGTTGGAATTTCTGCTCGACTTAGGGGCTTTTTGAAAGGAAATTTTTCGATTATTCTGGGGTTTACATTCAAATTTGCTGGGGGTTTATACACCGAACTTCTGCTCAAACTCATTTGCGTCACTTGTTCCAAAAGGAGTGACGCAAATAAGACCGTTATTTGCGTCATTCTAATAAATAAACGCGACGCAAATAACATAAAGCTGAAGCATATCAGGCATTTGCGTCGCTTCATAGAAAATGTGCGACGCAAATAACTTATAATGAAGCTAAAATATATCATTTGCTTTTCTTGTTTCTACGAGTGACGCAAATGAGGCGACGCAAATGAAAGTTTTTTTTACTAGTGTTTCTCTATCTTGTCATGCTGAAAACAAAGGGTTTCAGGTCAAATTCGACCATGAAAACTCTAGATCTAGAGTTTTTATGGTCGAATTTGGCCTCTTAAACCCAATTTCGAGGTTATATGTTGTTGAATTAAGGTATGTATTTTTTTTTCAATTTTGATTTTATGTTGTTTTATTGGATTTTTTTTTACGATTTATGGTGGTGGAAGGTGGTTATTGTTGGAGTTCGGGTTTTGTGGGTAATGGTTAAGTATTTTAATTTTTTTTTCTGTAGTTTTTTTTGCTTAGGTGGTTTTCGGTGGCCATAGTGGTGGTTTGCTTAGGTTGGGGGGGTTCGGTCGAATTGGGTTTGGGTTAGGGTTAAAATCTGGGTTTGTTTTGGGTGGGCTTGGGTTAGGTGGAATGGTGCTGTGCGGTGGTGGGGGTAGTGGGTGGTGGTACGGGTTAAGTGGGCTTGTGTGGGGCTGGTGGTGTGGGGTAGTGGCTGGTGGTGGGGGTAGGCTTTTTTTTTTGTTTTTTTTAGCATTTTCCGACGGATTTCCCGTCGGAAGTTTCCGGCGGATTATAGTCTGACGGAAATTTCCGAAGGACTTTCCCAGGCTCGAAAACCTCTTCAGACGGACAGATTTCTGTTGAAAATTCCGTCGGAAAAGTGGTTCCGACGGAATTTTCGTCGGAAAAGTGCGTTTTTCCGACAAAGTGTATCGCGACAACCAGTTCCGACGGAATTTCCGTCGGAAACCGGTTTTCTGACGGAAAACGGGGTGTTTCCGACGAAAAATTTCCGTCGTAATTTGACTCTTTTCTAGTAGTGATCATAACCATCATTGCATAACGAAGTATGAAGTGCTTAGCCTCCGTGCCTAAATTACCCAAATACTTTCATCATTGAGTCAACAATTGAGATATCATAGGATGGATTAATCCTTGCACATTAAGAAATAGTATCAAACAACATTTGATTAAGCTCATTTAACATGCACCTTTAAAACTTCGCTTCTTTCTTTTTTCGCGTCTTTCTTTTTCGGGAGAAAGTCGGTACCCTCCACAAAAATGACTGAAATTTTTGTGTTTTGCATTTTCGAGTCGCACGATCACATCACAATGCACAAACGAGTCATGTACACCTTGAATCATGTGAAGTCAATGAGTCAAGAAACTCTAAGTCTTAGGTCAACCCTAAAGAAAAGCAAAGTCCTATAGTCAAAGATATAAATGCAGGTGCATCCCAGCAAGCAAGAACATTCCCGAATTTTTTCGAAAAACCGCGAATACGCCACATGAGACTCTTCCAAGATGAGGAAAGTTTGAGAAAAATTGCATAGAGCAGTAAATTAGAGATGAAGAGCTTTAATTTACAAAATATTTGAGCGGATTTGGTTGAAAGGAAACAACCAAGTTCAAAGTTCAAAGCAAAACCGAGCAACGAATAACAGCAGTAAGAGCAAACTAGGGAAGACCCGAATCCAGCGCCAGACGACAAGGCTGCCACCTGGCGCCAGATAGTTCCAGCGAGCGTTGGTGCGGCGACATAATGCGTGGCCCCCATGTTAGATTATGTGGACCTCTTACAGCAATTTTGGGTTCCTTAGTACGCCAGTTAGCCCCTATAAGCACTTTGACATGATTGAGTACTCGGCTTGATTACAATCGCAATAAGTGATCGACCTGACAAAAGATCGTCTCGCTTAGTTTAAAAGCGCCTAAACATTAGCTCATTCCGAAGGCACCAACACAATAGTTCATAAACAACAAAGCACCGACATACTGGTTTACAAGCAGCAGAAATGCCGACGCACCGGCTAAAGCAAAGTTCAAGCGAGCTTTAAAGATCGACAAACGTTGGTCTTCGGTAGTTTTCTTCGAAATATTATCGCAACAGCTGAGAATGACTTCAAGAGAGGTTATCTTCGACGGCATTCGCTAAGATGTGGAGGTTGTCACCGAGATTTGAGAAGAGCGGTTCGGGATGAGGCGGTCTTCGACGACTTTTGCTATGATTTGGAAGGTTGTCACTATGATTCAAGGAAAAAAGCTCCATTGTTCAGAGACGCGTGGACATATAAAAAGCTCTTTTGCTCAGAGACGGTGGGCATATCATTCAAGCTCCTTTGTTTAGAGACGCGTGGACATATAAAAAAAAGCTCTTTAGCTCAGAGACGCGTGGGCACATTATTCAAAGCTCTTTGTTCAGGGACGTGTGGACATATCATCAAAGCTCTTTTGTTCAAAGACGCGTGGACATATCATCAAAGCTCTTTTGTTCAGAGAAACGTGGACATGTCATTCAGAAACTCTTTGTTCAGAGACGCGTGAACATATCCAAAAAAAGCTCTATTGTTCATAGACGAGTGAACATAGAAACAACAGGATGGCGTTTCCAAGCGTGTGGAAGGTTGTCACAACAACAAATAAAGCAATAAATTGGTTACCTCTAGAGACGTGTGCTCGACGGTGCAAGATACGCGTTTCTTAAGTCTCTTATCTGTTTAACTAACGCTAGTTTGCAGGTATCAGCGTTACAAGAATGATATAGGATCGCAGAACGTTCTTGTAGACACCCAAATGTGTCTCCCCAAAACCAAACCCAGTGATGAATACCTTTCACGTCATTTGATTATCAAACAAAGCAAAAGTGTGAAAAGTTTAGTGATGAGGATGTTTTTATTAAAATATCTCTTCTTTCTGTTTTTGAAAATATTTCTTTTCTTATCCTACTTTTGAAATACATGCATTCCAATTTAGTTTGGTCCATGATATGGGTCCAATAATGGTGTAGTTGGATGGGGCTTGAAAAGACCTTTCCAACGATATATTATAAGCCCAATTCCGATGAATAATGACGAAGTTATGGCCAAAATACTAAACCGCCGGATTTTACCTACGACCCAATGATCATGTGGAGGGTCCAAATGTTTAATCCTATTCCTAAACTAATTAAGATTAATTAGAAGCTTCTATAAGTTTCTAAAAGATCTTAATTATCCTTTTTCAAAAGATAAGATTAAAGAATTTGAGTTAAATAAAAACTTTCCTTTTTAAAAACTTTCCTTTTCTTAAATCCTAATTCTATTCGAATTTAAAGATGTTCAAAGATAGTCAAATATAATTTTCGTGCCTCATAATCTTTATCCAAATTTTATATGGTTATATAGATCTTGAAATTATTTTTCCAATGATATATTATAATATTAAATCCGAGCTATAACGAAAAAGATATGAAACTCTATCCAAAACTGAAACCATCCTACTATTTCGGGCATATCTTTTTATATACAAAAGATTTTAATCTGATTCTAATTGGGTTGAAAAGTAGACTTCAATATCTTTCCAACTACATATTACATGCCTTATTTGGATTTCTAGATCAAAAGATATGATAAAAACAAAATCCGCAAAAACTGTTGTCCATCGAGTTCTATTTCGATTCGAATTCGGATTCTTTTCTTATTCTTCGACCCTGTTTTTTCTCTATATAGAGATCAATTCTCATCAATAATCACTAACTCTCATCAAGAATTTCTTAATTCTTTCTCCCTCTTTTGTAGCCAACCCTTTTTACAAACACAATTCCTCATACATTAGCACTAGACATACCTAGCATTGTTCGAAGTTGCCTTCGCCCTAGACGTTAAAGGTTTTAATTTATGAGGGTTTGGTCCCTAATCTTTATTTCAATTATTTAATTTAATTGTTTGATTATTATTTTTCTTGAAGTTACTAACGTGTGTATTTTGTTATTAGAAAGAGGTACGAGGCATCCAAGTAAGTGCCTTAATTGATTTATTGATATTATGATGTAGAAATCATGCTTAGATTGTTGTTATGATTCCTAGTATCATGTTAGGATGTTTTTCTTAATTTGATATTTAGGGTGATTTGCTTATATCAATCATGATTCCTGCGATGCCTTTTATTCTCTTCCTAATATTCATAATAGTATCATGTTAGGGTTAAAGCTTTGATCTTTATTGTTTAGTGACATACTAGGGTTTGTTATTAATCTTGTTAGTATCATGCCTAGGATCTTACTATTATTATGCTTTAACATGATTCACGATTATT